TAGTTCCAACTCCCCTCCACCAAGTTCTTGCACATGTTGATAGAATGGATGGTTGAAGTTAAATGGGAACAAAAGCAAACTCTGTACTCTTATAATAGATGGCTGACATCAGACAAATATTCCAAAGAGGGAAATGGCACACTGTAGGAGTCGGGTTACAGGAAGGATGCTGGATGAGGCACCCTGGGAAATGAAGTTCCGAAGTACTCCCACAGATGGGCAGTGAGATGCCCTTGGTAATTGGTCAAGGGAATCACGTGTTACTTTGAGGTGTATATAAAAGGTGGTGATTCATTTGAATAAAGAGGATTTGGTGCTGAACCCCCACCCAAGCTAGCCGGGGCCGTGTAATTTATTTACGTGTTATATTAATACACCATACCACCCTGTCTGCTTGAAACCTTTCTATTATGTCAAGTCATATAATCTGTTGATACTGTTTTGCCCTAGGAACTTCAGACAAAAAAAAAAATCGTTAAAGAAATTTCCTGAGAAGGAATAAGTTTACTCCCTACTGAGTGAAGAGTGGACTCTTTCTTATAAATTCATTGACAGTCATGAGAATTTCAAAGCTCTCTCCCTTTTATCAGACTACAGGGTGAAGACTTCCAGTTTAGTGAAGAGAAAATAAAGATTTGCAAAGATTAATAATACCTATTAATGAGACAAATAGTTTCATAAAGGAACCTGCTGCTCACAAATGCTGTTAAGTAGTACAGAATACAGACTACCTTTAATTTGAGTCATCTGTGGGAATAATTTTACAGTTCTGTGTTTTCCTTATGAGTAGTTAACAACAAATTTGTTACCTGATAGGCCTTAAGGTCATGTGGGCAAATGACAAACTGCACATTTCTCTCCTTCTCAGGGTGTGCCCTGGCAAAATTTAAAACTTCTTCAATCATGGTCTCTGCCACTATATCAACAGGAAGCTTTAATGACCATTTTACTGGAAAAGAAACTGAAGGACATTGCTGGTCCTGACTCAGGCATCTTTTCACTGCATGCTTTAATTCCTGCAGGAAAAACAAGTATTTCAGTCCTCACATCACCCAACATGAAAATCCATTAAAATCCAATGTAACTGATCATCACCTCACACTGTGACACCGGGTGTTCGCATCCTCTCAATACCACGTGCAGTACAAACTTACAAGGCAGACAATACCCTTCTGTTACTATGAGTTCCTTATAATGTGTCGAAAAACTAAGATGATTCCTAAGTTCCTCCTGAAGACCTGGACCCGCTTTTTCCAGCAGTCTTGAAAATGGGCAGGGAGGCTTCCCACTCTTAAACACACAGTTAACAACAGCTGTAGTCTGCAAGGCAAGAGTGCAAGTTTCAGTGTACTTCATGTTTACTACTTGCAAGCTTTGATATTATAGAGAGCATTCTTTCTAGCCACAATTCCTGTAAAAAGGCATTACTGCAGCAGATCAGCTGCTTGAAAAGTTTTCCTACTACTTAATACTACAGGCAGCACTGGAATACATCAAAGGATGCACCTTGCAGTAGCAGTAAATGCAGATATTTTCAGAAACAAGCAGTGTGCACAAGAGCTGTTTCAGTCATCAGAGTGTATTCAACTCAGTTTTACTGCCACTATCGAAGTGACTCACATGTGCCTCATCCAATCCAATCCTGCTGCCAATTATCAAGCAGGAGAGAACTATGGCTATGCCCTGTTTAAAGGTAAGGTGCACATCATCTGTATAAGCTATTTTCAACTGTTTCAGTGGTTTTTTAAATATCTGCAGTAATGGCATCTATGAGAACACAAATTATAGGAAAAAAAAGCAAAGCAGGAAATAAGAGTAGACTTCTAGAGAATGCACAATAAAATGTGAATTCCCACAATGTTATAAGAAGAAGATAAATCTTAACAAAGAGACATATCATTAATCATCCAATCTCTAGCTGCTTCCTATTATATCATAACAGCATGTATACAAAAAAGAAATAAAAACATTCTGAACTTTAATACCTGTTTAGAAAAAACCAAACAAACCACAATTCCTTGCCACTATAATTTATCTACCATGTGTAAATTCTCATCAGGTTGAGAAAAACACTGTTTAGTGGACCGATACAAAATGTGTTCTGAACTCTTGGGCTCCAAATCCTGCAAAGACTTGGAGGCAACACCATGCTCAACAAATTTCAGGACAGACTTACCTTCTGCTCGTCAAGGTGTCCTCTTGTGACGCGCAAGCGAATGCCTTCATATTTGATGAACGTTGAAGACTGGCTTGGTGAAGATGACACAGTTTCCTGAAGTGAACTGGGATCATCCAGAAACTTCTCACAGGCCTTCTTCATTTCTGCAACTGTAGCCTCATCAATGTTCACCAGGCGGATTTCCCTGAGAAAGCTTGGTGGATGTACCTCAACAAATTGCCTTACAGCCATTACAATCACCTGAGCACACAAACTGAGTGGGAAGCCAAAGATACCTGAGCTCACTGCTGGGATAGCCACAGACTTTATGGTCCTTTCTGGAGCACTAACATAAAGCAGAACATTCATAATAGCTTTCTCAAGTAGGCAACAACATTTTTCCTTTTCAGAAGCATTCCACCTTGGACCAACTGCATGAATTATGATCTCACAAGGAAGCTTCCCTCCACCTGTTACTGCTATTTCACCAGCTAGGACTTTGCCATACTTTCGAACAAAACAGTCGCTTTCCTCTTGTATTTCTAACCCTCCAGCTGCCACAAGGGCGAAAGCAAGACCTGCTGCATGCTGTAGGTATTCATTGGCTGCATTCACCAAAGCATCAACCTTGTGTCCTGTGAGATCACCCTTACAAACACAAATGTCAATTCCCTTTAGTTTTTTCCTGTATACTTCAACAGTGCTTTTTGTGCTTTTGAAGGCCAACGTACAAGCAAACTTTTCGGAAATGAGATTACTTAGACAGTTGTCTCTTCTCTTAAGAGCTTCATAGGAATCTTTATTGATGGGCATCAGCAAGGTGACCTCATCCATTACCATGCTTGATCCTAGGATACAGAATATAAAGTGAAATAGAAGATACTACTGTCAAAACATTGCTTTTTATAAAGAAGTGTAGTTTATAGCTCTCAATTTTATCCTACTGTCATTACTAAGCAATATTTTTTACACAGTATGATCTTCTCTCTCCCTTTTTCAGAGGCGTAGAAAGCCCAACCAATCAAAGAGTCACTAAAGGTTACAAGAACAGCATCACTGAGCCTGTGGTGACTTGATGGTTTGGGTTCGCCTTATTTTTTACCTGAGAAGGAAGTTTGGTTAAGATGTGTCTCCTGGTGGCACTTGTATTCTCTCTCTCCTTCCTACTGTTTATTCTCCCCACCATTAGGCTGACACAGCCATTGTTGGGGACATAGCTTTCAATGCATCAGTGACATAATCTGAATCTAAAAAAAAATTAAGCATGCTAGAAACTTAATTTCATGTAGAGCCCTAGCCTCATCAAAAGACTGATGCAGCAGCTCAACTGAATGGGCTGAGAACAAATGGTGAGAAGGAAGATAAAGGAGCAGACAGGCACTGTTACAGGGCTTTGTTACCTGGCTGCAGTGTCACCGTGATGCTGGGCTGCATTTGACACTAAAACTTCAGCTGAGAAAGGAAAATGTGAAAAGCCACGCCATAATCAGGGCTTCGAAATGCTTGCAAAAGCAGAAAAAAGCACTTCTTCCCCTCCGAGATAATTTTGCTGAGCAGGCAGAAGCTTGGCTCCGCCTTCTCCAGGGCGTTCTTAGCGTTTTGATACTGATTTCCAGGAAGGACCGAGGATAAGCACCCCAGGCCTTCGCAGTGACTCTCAGCCACACCAGCAGAGGAACAGCTGCCGATAGGTTCATTTAGCTGTGCCACAGAGATCTTGCGCTGAGTTTTAATTCTGCGAGTCTTGTTTGGTCTACAGTTAAAGCCCTCGAGCAAGTTGTTTCTTCGTATGGAACTTTGTTCAGAAAGACTTTTGAAATCACTTTTTTTTAGGGAACAAAGATCACGTGGGGCAGTTTTTACATTATCGCTATGGCTATACAGCCCTCTCCTGGCAGATGGCAGCAGTACTATATGCGGCCATTATGTTAATTAGTTTAAATCAATTTCTGTGTGTTTAATCAAACTTCCCTCCGGGGTATGCTGCCTGCCTGTACAAAAGAGTCTAACGTTTTGCAGTTTTAAAGCATACACACTAATTCATCCAAACACTTCTGAGCTCTTGCTTTGTTAAAGGAGAAACGAAAGCAAATCCCGCTGAAGCAATCAATAGTAATGTTGATTCATAACCTTGTCTAATTAATATTAATTCATATTAGTTATGAATTTTAGGTTGCTTTTGGCTATTCCACGTTGATGTTTTCCAGTTTGATGGCTGTACCTGGCACTTTTCAACTTACATATGAAGGCACACACTTCGCAGATGGCTAAATGAGAGGCTTACCTAAACCGATTTTCTCTTCCGAGGTCCCTAGAATGTAACTCTATTGTTAAAAAAAAAAAAAAAAGAAAAAAAAAGAGAGAGAGAGAGAAAAAAAAAAAAGGAAAGAGAAAGTACATGTTACAAGTAACAAAGTAGATGGGCTGCCTTCCTCCGGCAGCGGTTCTGCTGCAAACCAAGCCAGCAGCACCGGCTTTTCAAACATCTGTACGAAGCTTTCTGATATTTACAACGCTACTCGGAGCTGCCGGAGCTCTGTAGGCGAAGTTGCCCACAGCATCCTCTGGCCCCGTGTGACCCGCGGGGGCAAAAAGCCAGGAAAAGTCACTTATTCCCGAGCACCATCCAGAGGACAGCTTGTTTCCCCAAGCCCCAGCGGAAGGTCCCGCCGCACCCCCAGCCCCTGAGGGAGCCGCCGCCGCTGCCCCTCCGCACCCCCAGCCCCGCTCCGGTACCTGCAAGGCCCCCATGAACCGGCTCGGTGCGGCACCGCCGTCTGCCCCTCAGCGCCCGGAGCTGGAGCGGGACCCGGGGCGGGGAACAGCGGGCAGCGAGCGGGAAACGAAAGCGAAAGCGGGCGGCGGGAGCGATCATGGCGGCGCCGCTGCTCGTGCGGCTCAGCCCCGAGCCCGACCCCGGCGAGAAGGCGATCCTCAAGCTCCATGCGTACTTCCAGTCGGGAAAGCGGTCGGGGGGCGGCGAATGCAACGTGCGGCCAGGCCCCCAGCCCGGCACCTACTGGGTGGACTTCCATGAGGAGCGAGGTACAGGGCGGAGGGCGCGGCTCGACGGGACGGGGTGGGGGGAGCAGCTGAGCCGTGTGAGGGGCTGGAAATGGCCGCCAAGGCACCATCTTTTGGGCAGGGCGTGGATAGGGCAGGGCAGGGGGTCTCTGGGGCCACTAGTGTTGCAAAATGTGGAATGTGTCAAGAAGAAGTAAGTTTATCGTAAGTCTGGATGTTCTTTGCTGTAAGACTTTTGTCTACTTTCGAGCCTAATCAGCAAGAAAGGAGAACTAATCAGTGGGACAGGTAGCAGCGAGCATCCCTTAGTTACAGGCATCCGTGCACTAACAATCTTTAAGGATGTAGTAAATCAAGCTGCTGATGTATGTCTATGTTTTTGCTAACATGGCGAAGTACTCAAGGTCCATGTACCCTACAGCTGAACTATATTCATTATAATGCTAAAAATCACGCCTACAGGTCAAAAAGACCCCTGCTGAGGTGAAGACCCTTCCCCTGAGTGTGCATAAAAGTTAGCTGGGGTTATGTAACTTGTGTGGAAATTACTAACCAATTGTAATAGAAGGGCTGTGCTTGGAAAGTTACTAACTCTGAGTTTCTGTGTATAAATAACGGTGCCAGTTGGGGCATGCTTGGTTTATGGAATACCACTGAGCACCCAGCCTTGCACAACTCTGAAATAAATGTATCTCTCTGGAGCGTGTAATTATTGGCTGGCTTGCACACCAGGTAACAAATCTGATTTTATGGGCAACACTGGTAGCCAGTACGTTTTCAGGTAACTTTATCAGCCTTGTCTGCCTGTCCCTCAAATTACTGCAGATAAGAAGAGCGTGGAATCCCGCACGAATCACACTTTGGAAATGGGTGCAAAACGCCTGAAGATAGTCATCCAGCCAGGAGAGGGGGACCAGAGCAAGAGCCGGGTTCCAGTGCAGGCCTCCACCAGCTACGATGTCCCTGCCAGCCCTGTCCTGCCCCAGCAGGAGCAGTGGGCAGCCAATGGCCATGGGGATACAGCAAGGGAAGTCCTTACCAAAAAGGTACATCGGGAGGAGCAGTGTCACAACCTGCCCTGCTTGTAGTTCCATGTAGTCCTTTATGTTGTACTTCAATATTTCATGCTGAGCAAATGTCGAGCAAACATAATCTTAGTAAATAAAATGTGGGCCGGGAACGACTTCCGAGTGCTGAACCAGAGGTCAATCCACACATGTTTACAGGCTGCATGTTTTCCAGCATGTCAACCACTACTCCCCAAAGCATTGCCCTGCTAAGTTTCAGAGGATAGGCTGCTCCCAAAAGGTGGATGAATTGCATGAGATCTGGATCCCTTTCAGATACACAGATCTCTAACACTATTTCAGCATGTTTTCCATCTTCAAGCAGCCCTAATTGCTTCTATCTCTTATCTCAGTGTTGAAAAAATCTGCTCTGATGTGATGGAGCACAGCAAACATGATTTCAGACACTTTGAACTAAAAGTTAAAGATCAGTTGTGTGTTAGGGACATGAGATAGGGCCAGGCTACATGATGTGAATGTGGTTCTATTGAGGCCCTGATATCCAGCTCAGAGGGTTTACCCTATTTTGCATGGTAGCATAGACATATCTTTTGAGATATAGCACGTGCTAGCATAGTGCTTACCTGGCATCTGTACCAGTATACTGCAAATTTCCCTATCCTTTTGTCTGTGCAAAGTAGACATGTGAACATGTTATTATTTTTCAGAATCCTATTTTTTGCCTTAAATCTGAGTTACTAAAGCATGACTCTGGGGAAATTTTTAAGAAAATTAATAAGGGAAATTTAGGAAGTCTAATAAATAAAGAACAATGAAATATATGTGCTGTTAAAACATGTTGTGTCTGTGTCACCCGACACTAAGGGAACAGAAAGATTCTTTTGGGGATCCTTGGCAGAATAATGATGGCACTAAGTTGTAGTTACAATTAAAGTTTTGTGGGTTTTTTTAATATGATTTTGTGATTAGCATAGCACAGAATTAATGATTGGAATAGCACAGAATTTCCACAAGCAGAATCAGTACAGGACAATTTTATGAGGACAATTTGATAGCACAGCTTAGTTTATTGTTTCTAGTGACCTGGGCCCCAAATCATGTCAAATCTTAATACTTGGCTTGCTGTATTGATAGAACAACACAATCTAGGCTCAAAAAGCACACAAAAGCATATGGGTCATCCACTCAGTCCTCAAAGGAAGCAGAGGGCAGTAGAGGTGTGCCTGGCCCCTGATGGATCATGAATCTCATCATCCAGCAGCAGTTCAGTCTGAGTTCCCACTTAGGACTTGTAACTAGTTGATTTTGTAGACAGTGCTGCTAAACCTCCCTGTTCTGTGATGGAATCAACACCACCTGTTTGGCAAGGTGCCTGGAACCTTCAAGGCCATTAAGGAGGGCACTGCTCAGCCTGGTGCCCAGAAACCTTGAGGATGATAGGGAGGGGAAGAAGAAATCTGTTTGCCTTGTCTACTTGGCGTGCAGGACTTTTAGGGCCTGATAATGAGGGGAAAAGGGACTAATACACAATGAGCTCAGTGGCAGAGGATGGCTGTTTGCCTTGTAAAATGGCATTAGTTATGCTAATTCTGTTGCCAGAGGTTGGGAGCAGAGAGTGCTGGTCACAGTCTCAAACTAAGTAGCAAAGGTACTGTTTCTGCTCCTGCAATGCCAATGACATTAACAAATTTCATTTTTGCTGCTGACTTAGAAGCAGATTGTGTTATTTGCCTGTGTGTAATGTCCTTATTCATGACATAAAAGAAACACTGTGTGCAAGTGTGCTTATTGTAATCTGCCCCTACTGAGACGAACAGGGCTTCTCTGCTCAAAATATAGAAGCAGCAAGCAGAGAACCTTAGGAAAAACTAATGTTGATATATTCTTGTCTTTTCTTTAGATATTTCTTACAGTATCTGCTACTTTGAATGCCAGTATGTTCTCCAAAGAGCAAATGAAGAAAATTACCATCATGTGTCCAAACTTAAAGAGAGAAAGAAACCCTGACATTGATGGCTTTGAGAAATTGACAGGAGATTTTACAGATATTGAAAAAGCTTATCGCTACTTTGAGGGTATCCTTGCAGGCAATGACCCAAACCATGAATTTTCTCATTCTGAAAGTCAGAATGGTTTGAAAGGTGAAAATGGTCTGAATACTGAAGAAATGAATGATCTTACAGTTATGACAGCTCTCTATGAGTATTTTAGTCATACCCGCAAAAAAGAAATCAAAGAACTTCATGAACGTTTTGGAGTGCATATAAGAACTAAAGACAGTCAAGATGGAACCACATCAATATACTTAACTTCCGATAAAAATCCAGCATCATTACAAGCAGCTAGTGATTTTTTTATCAGTACTTTTCAGAGAAGTGTAGGAGATCTGAAACAGGAAAAAATTCCCATAACAAACAGTTACCCATTAGGGGAGACAATAATGAAATTGAATGAAAGGTTTAGTAATCTCCTTGCTAAAGCAGAAGGGAATCAGTTCCTACTCCGTGGTCCGGAGAGTGAGATTTTAGCTGCCAAAAGATTTCTAGCAAAGGAAGGTAAGAACAGCCAAGCGGAAAAGAATATGAAAGTATCATCTGTACTGTACAAATATAGGGATGAAATTGCAGTTGATTCTTCTGTGTTTAAATTGTTGGAAACCGTATTAAAGAAAGAACTTGAAAACATTGAAGACAAGTTTAATACAAGAATAGAAATCAAAGACAATTCAAATGACCAGAAGACGCTTATACTATTTAGGCCTAAGATCCAAACTTTTGATATGTCATCGCATGCTACTGAAAGTTTCATCAATGCATTTCAAAGTGCCTCTGCAATGTTAAGAGAAAAAGTCATCAGCCTGAAGCTTTCAGAAGATCAGAAGAAAACTTTAAATATGCTACTCAGAGAAAAACAATTGGAAGATCTTCACGTAAAACTTAAGAAGAAGGAAGACAAATTAATCTTAAGGGGTTTACTAGACCATCTTTATGCTGCTGAAAAGCGCATTATGAACCTTCTTAACGTTGAAGACTCAGCACAAACCAAAAATAAGGCACCACTGGCCTCTGATCTCAGCTCTCAAGAAGCTACAGGAGCACTTAAGAAAACACCAAATGTCACGCAAAAGAATAATCTTACTCCAGAAGGACAGGCTAAGGCAAAGACAGAAGAAAAAGACAGTGATGAGTGTCCAATTTGCATGGACAGAATTAAGAATAAAGAAACACTGCAAAAGTGTAAACATGCATTTTGCAAAAGTTGCATTGACCAAGCCATGACTATTAAGCAAGTTTGTCCTGTTTGTAATACCGTCTACGGAGTCATGAAAGGAGACCAACCAGAGGGAACAATGTCAGCTAGATACATGCCACTCTCTCTTCCTGGTTATGGCTATTGTGGTACTATCGAAATTAGCTACAACATGAAAGGTGGTATTCAAACTGTAAGTGTATTTAAAGATTCCTAAAAGATATTTTTCCCACAACAAAACCAATATTGAATATAAAATTAACTATTTTCCCATTATTTTAATTCAAGTCCAGGAAAGACCTTTCTTTGGTCTGTATAAATCTACGAGTAGTTAATTCAGTGTTTTTAGGTGCTATTAAGTATTATAGTAGGAACTAAATGGTCAGATGGTGGCCCTCTGTTTTATATGCACCAGGACAGAGCTGCCTGTCTTTAATTTATACCTTGGGAATAACTGAACTGAAATCTGTGGAATGATATCATGTAAACAAGGTTTTGTGAGTATAATGATTCTCTGGGGCATTCTCTTCTCTGTAAACAGCAATGGACAAAAATGAATAGCAGGCTGGCTTGTAAGCTTTCCAGGTGAGAAATCAGCATTTGTTATGTGCTTGGATTCATGACTAGGACTGAGGATGGAGGAAATAAAAAAGTCAGGGGTACAGTGACATGCACTGAGGAGAGGGAAGAAGGAAAAAACAAATCTAAAAATGACAATGGATGCATGAGTGATGACAAGAAAATGTGAATGAAACTTATGTGAAAGAAACTATCTGATGAAAAAAACCTCCCCAAGATCAGTCATCAGTCATGCTATATCCTTCTGAATAAAAGCCAAGATTAAAAGTATTCTGAAAGCTGGGATGTACAATTTTCATGCTTTCAAAGCATTTATGATATACAATGTGTTTTTGTTTTGTTTTTCTACAAAACAGAGCAACCATCCAAACCCAGGGCAACCTTATCACCCAACTTTCCGGACAGCGTATTTACCTGACAATGTGGAAGGGCGACAAATTCTGGAGCTCCTCAGAAGGGCCTTTGACCAAAAACTGATTTTCACAGTGGGGCAGTCACGTACTACTGGTGCACAAAATGTTATCACATGGAATGATATTCATCACAAAACTGCCATGACTGGAGGGCCTACCAAGTAAGTAGTGTTCTCTTTATATAATATTATTGCTACTCAGATGAGTCAGGAAGGCTGCCCTGAATATTTTCCATATTAGAGCTTTCAAATTTTGTCACTAACAAAGTGATTGTGAAATGCTCTGTGGATCCAAACATGAACCACCCTCACCTACTTGGACAGATGGAACAAGGATGAACTTAGTCTTCTGTTTCCCCTCAGGCCACTCAATCACCAGTGAGTTGTGTAAGTCACTTAGTTAATAACTGCTCTGATTAGAAATTACTTCTAGTATAGGACTGAACAGCAAGCTCTTGATAGCACCTAAGGTTAGACTCCTGATCTCAACCTCTCCTGTTACCTGCTGTTTTGCAGAAGGAGGTGCTGGTCCATTATGATCCCAGTAAAGATTGGACTCAGACTTTGTAAAATATGATTTGAAATTCTACGTAACAGAGCTAGCAGCAAGAAGAAAGAGATTGTAGTACAGATATGGTCATGTCCTTTTAGGTGGTAGGAACCATGAGTTGTGCAGCATTTAGTGGCACTCTGATCAGAACAGAGGACATTGTCCTGGCCCCATCCACAGAAAGGGTTTCCCCATTTTGGTCTTTCAAGCTATCATAGGATTTTCTGAGTAGATGACAACTCTATTCAGCGTTTCTTGAGGACTCGCTGCACTTGTAGATAAAGGCAAGGACATGCAGATGGAGCAATCACTGGTACTGAGTGGGAGCTGTACAGCAGAGACATGAGGGAGGCTTGGATCAGCCCTTCGTGTCCTTCCAGGGCTTGTTGCAGCCTCTGAGGGCCAGGTATTGTCCTGCAAGCTCTAAAGGTTTGTGTCTAGATCTTCCTGACTGGGCTAGGATCATAAAAGAGCAAAAAGTATCAGTTTCACTTTATCCCCCACTCTGCACAAATTCTCTCCCTGGTTATCATCTACTTCATACACACTTCTGGTGATGCACTATTTAAAAATCCAGAGGTGCCATTATGTTTCTGATTTGAATGCTCATTTGGATACACTTCGGATCTGACTTTTCTTTTTAGAAAGATGTACACCCAAACACCCTATCATTTTGAAGAGACACAGCAGGCAGCTTTGAAAATCAAGTCCTTATTGTCAGTTTGGACAACAAAATGCAGCAACTCCTTAAGTTTGTAGCTTTACCCTGTCAGTACCACTTCTCTGACCAGCAATATGGGGTCTGTTTACTCTGTAGGGCAAGAAGTGCATAAAACTTTTGTAAAGAGATTTCTAAAAAGATTTTGATGGGAAGATTCTGTAGAACTTTCAAGTGCTTCATTGCAGAAGTAGCTCAAACAATTATTTTCTTCTCCTAGTTTTGGTTACCCTGATCCTGGTTATCTTCAGCGGGTTCGATCAGAATTGAAAGCAAAAGGAATTGAATAACGAAATGTATCAACTGTCAACTCTTAGTGTAATAACTGAACATATAACAGTCAATTTACTATTCAAGCACTAAGAGGAGAGAATTTGCTTTGTTCAACTGCTGTACTTAAATCACTTGTATTTCACACTCAGCTAAGAAAAGTAATCTTTTATCATCAAGCAATATATGTTCTTTTCAGAAATCATTTACTTTTCTATATGTGTAGTCCTTACAGAATCTAGGTTTTGTGAATGTAGTATCAGTACTTGTTGCATCTGTTGAATATCAAATATATAAAATTGTTCATATTGCTTTACCGGTGATTCTGATCTCCACTTTTTCCCACTTCTTCAATCTGACTGCCAAAACCATTAGATCCAGTACTGGCTTTTATTAGATACAGTTAACTTCAGTAGAAACACTTAATGTTAGCTTCGTGTTATTATGTCTGTCACCGTGAATAACATCATGTAACCCATCTAATAGAAAATTTTCATGCAGCTGCTACAGTGTCAGCTGTAATCAGGCTATGGACTTCTGCTTATTTTTCTTTTCATGGTAGAAATGTCATTAGTGGTTTGGGTTTTGCACATGGAATTAGCGTGGCTCATGTATGAGTGGGTGTATGGATGCTGCTGTATTCTTAGCTCTGCAAAGTGATGAATGCTCAGAGCCACCTTGAGGCAAATGAAAAGTGTATATGGCCATCTCTGATAATGGGCTCCTGGGTCTGTGTCTGCCATTGTACTTAAGCTTAAATACGACTTCTAAATCAGCTTTGCAACTATACAAGTGTATTCTTCCCATTGATTCCAATATAGGTTTGAATTGTATCATAAAGTTACTCTGCAGTGCCTAAACAACCTGCTAATTACCTGTATGGTGGTGTGTCACAAACACAGACATCATTTCAGTGAGTTGAAACATTTTTGTAAGGCTACTAAGTACAGCTAATAAAGAAAATATAAAAATGCCATCTGTGTGTTTCTGTATTCTTCTGTACACAATTTTTCTCCTTCTTGTGATAGATATAGCTGTATATTTTTCTAAAACGTAGGAACTTCCCTGCAACACCATGATTTGGGATGATTTGGACTTCATGCCACCTCCTTTTTTTTTTTTTTTTTTTACCACAGCCATCAGTCTTAGCATGTTTCATTTAATTAATAAAGAAAGTATTTTTTTGTTGCTTTTTTTTTTTTTTTTTGGATTCCCACATCGTGAATAGGCAGTACTACTTTACCATCTCAACTTTCATGTTTAGTAGTGTTGGGCACTGTTTGGTTTTCACGTGGTTTGGGATATCCTTACAGCTCTGGTTTTGTGTTCCTGTATTTGTTGTAACATTTTACACTATTCTGTGTTCCCCCCCTTTTCTGTGCAGTAAGATAGCAACATTCCAGTTGTTTCTAAGTGCCTGAGCTTTTCTGCACACTGAAACAAGCTGTTGTGCTTTAACCCCAGCCGGCAACTGCGTAACATGCAGCCACTCACCCCCCAACCCTGGTGGGGCAGAGAATCGGAAAGGCAAGGTGAACCTTGTGCATTGAAATAAGAGCAGTTTAATAACTAAACAAAATAAAATATACTAATGCTAATAATTGTAACGGAAAGAGGGGAGGAGAAAATAAAACCCAGGAGAAACAAGTGATGCACACCACAGTTGCTTACCACCTGCTGACCAGCCTGTCACTGAGTAGCAATCACCCCCCCCCCAGCTGACTCCCCCCAGTTTCCATACTGAGCATGATGCTCTATGGTGTGGAATATTTGGCCACTTTGTGTCACCTGTCCTGGACATGCTCCTTCCTGGCTTCCTGTGCACCTGCTCGCTGGCAGAGCACAGGAAACTGAAAAGTCCATGACTTGGGATAAACACTCCTCAGCAATAACTAAAACATCAGTGTGTTATCAGCATTTTTCTCATACTAAATCCACAACACAGCCCTGTACCAGCTACTAAGAAGAAAATTAGCTCTCCCAGACCAGGACAGCTGTGAAGATCAAATCTCCCTGGCATCTTTTGGTCTCTCATTTCACTTTCTGTCCCATTAAGCCATTTCACGGTGTCACACCCCTATCCAATAACTCACTGGCTCCCATTTTGTCTGTGGCGAAGTTTGCAGGCTGATTTGTGCAGCAGAGTCCTGTTGACTGTCATGGAAAAGCTCCCAAGCCTTTATCCTATAACCAGCTATATAGACCTTTACTTCCTAATTGTAGCTGTACAGTTTAGGAATAAATGTACTTGATTTGTAATCACAGTCAGCAATTGTGCCTGAGTTACAGCAAGGGAGGACAGCATGTAACTGGGCTTGCTGCGAACAGAACAGTGCATTAGGAAACAACAGATTAATCCGTTGCCCATCGAGAAACAAAGGCATTCCCATGGGTTGCTCAGTATTGTGTCTGATGATACCTTTTCTTAGCTGGCATCCACCCATATTTATCATATTTAATGACATTTGGTTATTTATATATTTTCTTGATGAACTTTCCGTGACATTAGGGAGGAAAAATAATTTATCTGCTATTTTAGTGTTACATTTACTAAAATACACAGCATGAAATAGCTGAGAACTGTAACCTTTGAAAGGGAAAGTCCTGAGCACTCAGTTGAAAATATCGCAGCTAGCTGTCACGTTGGTCTGAGGAAAATACTCTTTCGTTGCAATCTTGCACAGTTGTAAAAGCTTCTCTGACAGAGAATCATGAAAACGGGTAATTTTACTTTGGTTTACGACTTGATTTGAAAGTTTAAGGCAGGGAGAGCGACTGTTAACCAGTGCGTGACCATTATAAGGTCCGGTGTTGAAAACACTGTACTTGTGACACCCGTGGAGGCACAACGGGCTGTGCAGCCCGGCAGCGCTCCGCGGGCCGTGAGAGGCCGGTCCTGCCCCCCGAGGAGGCGCGGAGGGGACCGCGGCCCCCGGCCAGCCCCGGGTCAGGGGGAGCCGCCTGTTCCCGCCACTGGGCGGAGCCCGGCGCGTCGGGTTTCCTCGATGAAGAAATGAAAGCGAAAGCGGCGGGGAGCGGAGCCGTCGGTGCGGCGATGGCGGGGCAGCGCCCGGGCGCCTTCCCGCTGCTGGTGCGCGGGGACTGGGGCTCCGCCGAGCCGCCGCCCGCCCTGAAGAAGAAGCTGCTCTGCTACTTCCAAAGCCAGAAGCGCTCGGGAGGCGGCGAGTGCGAGCTGCGGACCGGGACCGACGCCGAGACCGGGACCGGGCACCTCCTCGTCTGCTTCGCCTGCCCCGAGGGTGAGCGGCCGGGCCGGGCCGGGCGGGTCGGGGGCACTGATGGCGCTGCCCGCGGTTCGGAGGGGCGGGGAGCGCCGCATCCCCCATGACCGGTGCCTGTTGTGTTGGCAGTGAGGCAGCGGGTGCTGGACCGGCGAGTCCACGAGCTCGAGTGGGGGCCCGGCGGGCGGCTGTCGCTGCAGGTCACCGCGCTGCCCGCAGGCGGCGGCTCCGCGCAGGTGAGACGGGCGCGGGGCGGGCGGGCGGCGGGCGAGGGTCCGCGGGTGACCGCTCTCCTCTTGTTCCCTTGCAGGAGGAGGGACGGGTCGGCGGGGCCGAGGCGCCAGGTAGGGGCAGCGTGGGACGCGGCGCGGGACTGAAGCGCCCGGGGCTGGCGGGGCACTGGCCCGGGGAGCCCGGGCGGAGGAGCGGGGATGGGGAGGGAGGCGGAGCGGGGATGGGGAGATCTGCTTTCTGGTGCTTGGCCGGGCCGGGCGAACAGCGCTCTAGCGCTTTGATTCCCCTACCCTGCGCTCTCCTTCATTTCCCTCATCCCAAAACCGACGTATTTTCTAAACCGCAGCCCGCAAGCCAGCCCGCAGGCGCCGCACAGACCCACTGCTCTGGCTAGAGGAGCTAATACACACACAGCTAATACACAGCTAATTAATACCCACCCGACTAATGAATACTCACACAGCTAATACACAGCTAATCAATACACACACGACTAATCAATATGCACACAGCTAATACACAGCTAATCAATACACACAAGGTTAATACACACACAGCTCCCTGACCTCCACCCTCAAAGTGCCTATTTGTGCACAGATGGGAACTGAGGGCGCAGGGTAGAGAAGCAGTTTGGGTGATATAACCTTATCTTTTGTTTTCTAATTTAGTTGCATTTCTTCCTGTTCTAAACTAGCAAGTAGAGCTGTTGTGTAGAGTCAGAACACATCATAATAGAGGCTTTTCCAGACATGCCAGTTTCCAGATGTGCTTCCCTCCCAAGGGGAGATGTCCTTGGCACTTCTCAAGTTCAACGCAGTTTTTATGTGAGGACAGTGTGTAGTGCGTGGGAGGACGTGCTCACCATGGTTCACTCAGTATGACTGCGTACTAGTCTGATTTTTAACATTATGCCTGAGCCTTCTTGAGCTCAGAGTGTTTCTGCAACCAATTCAACATACGTTTTAAAAAGAGGAATCTATGGAAGTCTGGGATTCTGGCAGTGTCAAATGAAACAATTCAAGCTGTGTTAGGTCCTGGGTGTACACGAATGTGACCTTTTTCTTCTTGAAGTACCCAGTAACTGAGAAGTCATTGTCGTTTATCTCTAGTTAATGAACCCCAGGTGTCTCTTCCCATCTGCCAGAGTAAGGAGACTCCTGTGTGTACTCTGCAGGAGAAGGCAGGTAAGTGTGCCACATATCCAGCGGTGACCAGTGTATTCTTGCTTCTTTGGTTTTCATGGACCTTCCTGCTGTGGTAGTGCCCTGGTCACCCGTGTGGCTTGTGGTGTTTGTCTAATGTAGTGTAGGAATTGTGATCTCAGACTAAAAGAAATAAATGGGTTTTTTCCTTTGTATGAGTCCCTTTAAAGTCCCCACTTCAGTGGCTGCCTCGGGCAGGCCAGTTCCTTAGGAAACAGCAGTAGATGCTGGCCTCTGTTCTGGCTAAGGCTGTTTCTTCCCAGACCTTCCCAGATGCTCCCAGCCCTGCTGGGGCAACCTCTACCAGAACATCAGTAGCTTTGTACCCCAGGTACACCTGAGCTGCTGTGGCAGCCAGCGCATGTAGACCCCATGTACCCACAGCAGTGGCTGGAACTGTGAATGGAGAAAGTGCCCAGGCAGAAGAGCACTGATTCCCCTCATTGTGTGTTTGTGAAGAAGATTTTTTAGCTTTTACTTCTGCTGTCCTTGCCTGATGCTGAAGTGAAGCATTTTTCCTCACCTGTTGTTATGGCAGCTCCCACTACTGATATGCTTAACTTGTTTAGAATTCTTACCCTGTTCTTTTCCCTGACCTTATGTGTGGTCTGAACAAAAAATGGAGTGAAAGCTTGGAAAATAAGAAGCTTGGTATTTTTCTTAACTTTTGCCTAACGCATTGGAGTGTGATCTTTTTTTCAGAATCATGTGAGAAATTGGAAGAAGAAAAAGCAACCTCTAGGAAGTCTGTCATAGTAGTAACCACTGCCTCTGGGGAAGAAATAGAAGATGAGATTGTGGAAATGTACTTCGAAAATAAAAAGAAGTCTGGTGGGGGGATCATCAGGTCCTATGTCAAAGAGGGTCAGCGAGTGATCATCACCTTTGAGGATGAGCAAGGTACGCTTGTGTGTTATGGCTGTTATACTGCTAAAGTTCCCTTTTAAAAATAGGCCTTTGCTGGTGCTGGATCTCTTTGTGGGCATTGCTCCAAGCAGAAATGGTGTATTATTTTTATTATTTAATATGGTCTGCTGTGGGGAAGGGAAGATCACATCTTTGGTTTTTTTCCTGTGCAACTAGATGCCCAAGAAGTTTTGCAAAGGAAGCATCACAAGGTGAAGAAAATTGATCTGTTTGTGAAGCCATGGCAAGTGGACACTCTGCAGGAGCCATGCCAAGCGGAGAACTCTGAAGGATCCCTGCCTTCCACCTCAGTTGTGCTGGAGAATATGAAGGAGACAGCAAAAGATTGCATGGTTATTATGCTGGTAGAGAACATCAGCGGCTTGTCAGAGGATGATGGTGACTTCAGTGTGGAAATGATCCCTGAGTTACGTGCTGCTGTAGTTACTTTTACTGCAAATACTGGTAAGAAGGAGTCAGAGTTGAAGCTCTTTCTTATTAGCTACTTGTTTGCATGTGTGTGTGTGAGGCTAAGCAGGAAGTGAATGTTTTCTGTCATATTTTTAAGGTTTGGTCTGATATTGTGTCCTTTTAAAGGAGAACTTACACTACTAAAGTAATGCCATACCTTTTATCTGTCAGGTGTAGAGGCCAGTGAAAGTCAGAAGAGAGCTAGCTCTGATTTGGATAATAAACAGAACAGGTAGAACTAAAACCAAACTATAACTTAGAACAAGCAATGAAGGATGTACGTGATCTGAGAGCAGTTTGATGACAAAGGCTGTCCTTGACAAAAGGTTTTACATGTGTGGTGGGTTCGTATGGATTAGAAGAAAATTGCACAAATATGTGGAGCAGAGCTTTTTAAGGTTATTAATCAGACTGTGTCAGGCTGGAGAAATCTACTGTCATAGACTGGAAGCTGGGAGAGAGTTGAGGAAGCAGCATCTTCTTACAGCTTCTCTAGATGCCTGCTGTGGCCATTGCTGCGGATGGGATACTGGTCCTGGGGTGCTGAGGCAAGTCCAGCTGTCCTTACAGAGTGGCAGCATCAGTTATGTGAAGCGTGGCACTAACACCACATGTGTTGCCTGATGCTGTAGTACCAGTGAGTTGTTAAGCTACTATGTGGTTTTTAGCGTGTTCAATACCATACACTTTCTTTTCTACCTTATTAATGATTGATGACGAAGGCATCTTGCAGGTGATGGAGAGGTGTCTGCTCCTACTTCTCACAGTGAGGGACTGGGGAGACTTTCTGGTGGATTTATGGCTGATTTTACTAGCAAATCCCATCCCAGGATTTGGGCAAAAGTAAGTGGTATGAAAAGACTGGATCCTGAAAGATTATCAGCCAAATGTCATGGCTCTTGTTGCAGAGAGAGAACTGAATTAAACTGACAGTGGTGAACTGGCTTCAGGATTCTTTCAGTGCTGCTGTGCTGGAGTCCTTTTAGGGACAAGGTGACTTTACATGTGCTTGATTCTGGGTGAGAAGGTGGGACAGGAAAGAAGAGAGAATTGAGTCTTACATATGGAAAAATTCTAAATCTGTAGAAGATAGAATATGGTGAAAAGAAGTTATGTATCTCTTTGAATCAACTTAGAGATAACACTGGTGTTATTGGTAATATATAAAAATGAAGTTGCTGAGAAATCTTAGTTGTGAAGGGATTAGTATGTGGTTTAACTAAACCAAAGAATTTTTTAGCTTCCAGAAGGTATAGATTTTTCTGCCTTAGAAATCAGCAATTATTTGTCTCTCATGTTGTGGTCCAGTCCTAAATTTTTGGTGTAGCCTTTAGGAAATAAAAAACTTAACTGTTTTTCCCTGAAAGATGTGAAAGTGATTTGACTGTCCTTTAGTGTGATGATAAGGGGGGGGAGTAGCCAAAAAGAAAATGTATTTATCATAAAACTGAGAGAATTTGAACTGTTGGCACATGTCTGATTAGTTGTGTACAAAACCATAGCCCAGAAATGAACCTGATCTTGTTTCTTTCTGAGGTTAAAGAGGCCCAGTTCTAGTCAGCAGGAAAACTAGCAGCAAATTCTGGGTACAGTCATTGTGGTCAACAATTGTAATCAACCATGAGGGGAATACTGGGTGGCAGATACCGAATACGTGGAAAGAAGTAGCTTTGGGGGCACCTCTGAGTTGATTTTGTAATTCAGTGCTTTGACCAGTGCACACAGCGATAGTCTGCTAACACCGAGGTAGAAAAGTGAGCTCCAAGTTGGAATTTGTTTTTTTTTTCTATTTTCTTCTCCTTTCTCTTCTTAGATACGGGGGAATTTGCTAAAAAGGTTAATCAAAACCACAGAGCAAAGCAACAAAACATTACTGCACGGTGCCTCGAGCTAACAAAGAGCATTAGGGCTGAAAATATACCACCCAACACATCCAGTGACTATATAACCATTTACTTTGAAAATAAGAGGAACGGAGGTGCACAAGTGACGGATGTTCAACAGCTGCCTGACGAAGATGCAGCTATCATTACATTCAGTGACCATAAAGGTAATGTAGAAATGCAAAGCCCTTATTTCTTTGAGAACTTCCTATTTAAGGATCAAAATGTGTATTTTCTAGAGAAATGCCTCCTTTGCCCTCATAAAACAGCAAATCTGGTGCTTTGTCAGCAAGTCTCTGCTAACTGTGCAAGCCTCAGTTTTGGGCCAGCTGGGCATGAGGCATAGAACCATTTCCTTTTTCCAGACAGCTTATTTCACCCTGGCCCTGATCCTTACAGAGTTCAGGTTGCAGTTTGAGTGCAGGAGACTTTCCCCCCAGCCTGCCACCTTCACCACCAGCTGTCCCATGGCAATGTGTGCTGTCTAGGTCATCAGGGGACAATTTCTTGGGCAGCTTTTTTGGCTGGAGACTAGGTGGTGTGGCTTGTCCAGTCAGTGACAGAAAGATGAGTGGAAGGTGAAGGACAAGAGGGAAGCTGGAGCCACTGCAGTGAAAGGGAGAGCTGAAGGGAAGTTGAAAGAAAGAGATGCTCTTTCTGTGGGAAAATGGAGGAGCTGGGGTTTGATACTGCTGAGTATAACCTAAACAACTGCTGAGCTGGGCACTTTAAGTACAGCATATAAGAGAAGTGGGGGCAGAGACTGTGCGTACCTCCTCCCAGAAGTGGACTGTGTTGTGCTTGACTTTCTCTCTCCAACTTAGTTTCTGGCATTTAAAATAAATAATTCTTCAATAATTTGGAATTATTTCTATCTGGGAAGGGAGGGAAATGAATCTAAAAATGTTCTTAGAAATAACAGACATTATTATTTAGAAAACATAGTTTAAAAACCCCAAACAACGAAAAGAACACAAAAACAAAACAGAAGATCTTAAATGCTGACATTAATAGTCTGGGGTTTTGTTTGTTTGTTTTAGATGTAACAAATATCCTGGCAAAGAAGCATACAATCAACAAAACGCCAATCTCTGTCTATCCTTACTACACCTCGCTGGGAACAGCTCTATATGGAAAGGAAGGGCCACAGATAAAGAAGCCAGATCCAATTACATTGCCTCTGGACCCTTATATCTGGAATTATTTGCAAAAAAATAGCAGCCTCATTGCAGCCATAAATTGTGAAATGGCAAAGTGTAATTGTGTGCCAGCGTGGCCTGAACCCCACTGTGCAGACCCAAAAGTTTCCTTGCATCCTTCTGCTGTTTTGTGTGAGCGGAAGAGATCAGTATCTCAGTTGGTCAAGTCATGGAAGGAAAATGTTTCCGCAGCCTTTTCACAAAGCATATCAAAGTATGAAGCAATTCAATGTCAAGTAAGCGCAGAGGTGTGGGAAGCCATTAGAAACAGCTTTCCCTGTGATGAAGTTCTGATGATCCCATGTATTTCCAAGGATTTACTTGTTCTAGTGGGAGAAAAAGAAGTTGTGAGTAACGTTGAACAAGAACTGAAGGTTCTGATTGAAAAGGCCATCAGAGAAATTGAAAGAGAAAAGCAAAGAACTGAACAAGTGGTGACAGTGAGTCCAGGGGAATATGGAATTTTACAGGTTTCTGGCCTGGAAGAAAAATTTCGTATGGAGTTCCCAGGTCTGAAAATAACTTACGATTATTTGCAGAAAATAATTAGCCTATGTGGTGTGCCTGAGGAAGTTTATAAAGTAAAAGGGGAAATATTCGATACTATGCACAAAATGGTAAAGAAAACAGTTAATATCCACCCTTATATTTTCCAGTTTTTAGAGCATATTGATAATGAAACCCTGTCACAGAGTCTGTTTATGTCAAAACAAATTAGTGCCTTTTATGAGCTTGGCACAGGAGCTGTCATCTTGAATGGGAGTACTCCTGAAGATATCCTAAAAGCAGAAGAAGAAATAAAGAAGGAACTGGACTACAGAAGCATTGCATTGGAGGATGAGTCAGTCCTCCGGGAGGAGGAATGGCAGATGCTCACCAAGGAAAACTGCTCTAATGAAGCTGTAACAGTCACTCAGGCAGGAAGTCAGGTCGTCATTGCTGGTTGTTCTCAAGCAGTAGCAAAAGCCTTTGAGGAACTTTCCAGCTTTATAGATGAAAACACACAGGTACAAAGGGTCATTGGAGGAAAGCCCATGGCGGTCATAATGTTCTTTGAGAAAGAGAAGGTTGATGTTTGGGGTGGCTTACTGAAAAAAGGTGTGAAAGTTGACTTTAGCACACAGAAAAAGTGTAGGGTTATATCCTTGAGTGGATCAAGGCCAAAAGTGCTGGAAGGAGTCAGCCTAGTTGAGCAAATACTATCTGGCCTGTACTATAAGCGTGTGGTAATTGGAGCACCAGGAGCCAAGTCATATTTCAAAGAGCATGAACGGGTTTTGGCCTCCCATGCAAAACAAGAGTTTAAATGTTTAGTCCGGCTGGAAGAGCACTCAGAAGAGCACCTGGAAGAACAGCAAGAACATAGTAATGAAGGCAAGCCCTATATGCAAGTGACCATGGGTGAAATTGTAATAGCAGTTTATAGAGCTGACTTATGCACTCATTCTGTTGATGTTGTGGTGAATGCGTCTAATGAAGACCTAAAGCACATTGGTGGCCTTGCTGATGCACTGTTAAGAGCTGCTGGTCCAGCACTGCAAGAAGAGTGCGATGAGCTGGTGAGGAAGAACGGGCATTTCCAGCCCGGGAGCGCAGTTCTCACGGGCGCTGGGAAACTCCCCTGCAAGAGCGTCATTCATGCTGTTGGGCCCAGGTGGAGGAAGGAGGAGCCAGAAAGGTGCGTGGACTTGTTGAGGAAGACAGTGAAGAAAAGTCTAGAACTAGCTGAAACATACAATTGTTCTTCCATAGCTCTGCCTGCTATAAGTGGAGGGATTTTTGGCTTTCCACTGGAACTCTGTACATATTCAATTGTATCCTCTATCAAGGAGACCTTGGAAGGATCCAAGGGGGACAGCAGCTTGAAGGAAGTTCATCTTGTGGATATTGTACAGGATAACATTCAGGCTTTCAGCAAGGCACTTAGAGAAGTGTTTCCAGATTCTTCACCTTCCTACGGGTCCCTGCATCAGGCCAGTAAAATTCCTCAACCTAGAGAGCGCAAAATTTCTCAAAAAAGCAAGAACTTACCATGCATAACAACTGAGGAAGGCCTTGATATTGTGCTGCAAACAGGAAGCATTGAAGATGCTACAGTAAGTGTTTTAAATTATCTGCCATTGAAATACCAAGTGGGTTTTTTTTTGGTTTGTTTTTTTTTTTAAACACAAAACCAATAAATGACCAACCCTAGACCATCATCTATAGTTAGCAATACTGCCATGTTTGACACGTTGCTGAAATTGGCTATCGCTGCTGATAACAAGAATTGCTGTTAGGTGACTGTCTTACATGGTAGATACAGATGACTGTGCAGCATTGCATTTTGTCATCTAGTCCAACCCCAAGTAGGGTCCCCTGGAGCACATTACTCAGGATTGTGTCCAGACGGCTCCAGAGATCCCTGTGTACATGGTATGTTACAGTTTAGCAGAAGCAACTGAGGCCAGCAGGAATCGGTCTGGGCTCCAAACCCTCCCGATCCTTCCTTGCTGGGCAGAAACCATCTTCAGGCAGCACTGACCTTTCCAGAAATCCTGATTATTGGGAGTGTGGTACTAGTATGAAAGCAAAATAGAGTGCTCAGTATTGGCTAGCACGAGTACCTTGCTATGTGAGACTGGCTGATGCTTCCAGGTCCACTGTGCTCCTGCAGCAGCAGAGACATTTACGTCTGAGCCTGTGTCTATAGCCAGTCCTGTTTTCCCTGCATCTGTGGGATATTGGTCTGGGAAAATTTATTTGTTCTGTCACTGGCATGAAACATGCAGTTACTATTGCATTTCCTGTGAAGAACCATCTAATTGATTTCCAGTTGCCTGGTGCATTGAAATTCTGTTAGCTGGCTGATAGCTGTTTTACTGGGATTACCAAAACTGGAAGCAACTCTGTTCAGAACCCTTTCCATAATGGCTGGGAAATCCTTTCAGGTGTGGATGCCTCCCACAGCTTGTGCATGCAGCTCTTCTAGTTGGACAGGACAGAATATATGTTAAAATGTGTACAGAGGTCCTTCCCTAGGAGCTGGATATAGGACTTGACACAATGTTCATAAGCCTTTGTATTTCTCTCATTTAAAAGTTACTGCTTTTCTTACTTCTTTCTCCTTAGGTTTCCTCCAGTCTTGTTTGTCTTCAGGTTCTGCTTTTCCCCTAGACCAGCCATGCATGGGAGTCCTGCCTACCTCAGTGAACATAGATTTTGGTCTGTGAGCCTCTCTTGGAGAACAAACTTGCATAAATGTTTTTCAAGTGGAGGTAGAATGAATAAACCAGGAATGCAGAATTTTAAGTTTCTCCCATCAAGCTGAAATGAATTTCATTGTTAACTCAACTTTTGTGTTCCTCTGGGTAGGCTCATGGTATTAGAATTGAGCATAACTTCTATTTCATTCCAAACTTTGCTCACTCTGATTGCTGTCCCAAAAATTTACTTTGTAAGTCATCAGGCAGGCTGTTTTGATTAATCAATGCAAAATTTAAATTTGATACTTAAAAGGTAGAGGTTTTGCTTGTGTGTTTTTCAGACATCCATTATTGTCATCAGTGTTGGCAAAGATCTCCAGCTTGATAAAGGGCCACTTGCTAAAGCTTTGCTAAGCAAGGCAGGGCCAATGCTTCAGACAGACTTGAGAAAAGAAGGCCTAGGAAGAGCTGAGGAGGGAGCTGTATTGAAAACAAATGGTTACAATCTAGACTGCAGTGTTGTGCTTCATGCTATTGTACCTGCGTGGTTCCAGAGAAAAACATCTTCAAAGGTATAAGGTGTTTTATTAGCTGGATTTTGTCTGGGCTTTATAATGTGTTTAATGCCACTTTTCCTTTGAAATCAGGGACAGTGTCACAGAAGACAGGAGAGTTTGACCTGTTCTTTTTTAACTGTGGGGCTGATCTCTTGTTGATTGATGAATTCCTTGTGATGTATGCAATTAATTGTATCTTATTACCAAGCTAAAAGTGAAAGTGCTATGTTGCACATGCTGGAAAAAAATTACCTTTAGTAACTGAAAAAATGATTGTGCTTTACAGGTCTTTGGTGACATCATTACAAAATGTCTGGAGATTGCTGAAGAACTGTCTCTAAAGTCAATTACTTTCCCAGCAATTGGGACAGGAAATTTAGGATTCCCAATCTTTATTGTTGCTGAATTATTGTTTGACAAGGTGTTTGAATTCAGTAGTAAAAATGGTGTAAATTCTCTTGAGGAAGTTCACTTTCTATTGCATCCAAAAGACACAACTCATATTCAGGTGAGTTACTCTGGTTTTCTTTCTCTATCATATGCTGGTTTATTTGATGATACTTGGCTATCTGATAATCTTCAAGGAATCCACAGGGTGCTTGTTCTTACACTAAAGAAAAACTCTGCTGACAGTCTCTCTTGTCTATACTGAAGGTTCTCATTTTGGTTCTGCCCGTCATGGTCACCTGCCTGTCCTGTACAGACCTGCTCCCTTCCTGTCCTTTTCTGTTTCCTGGCAGTAATACAGACAAAGATGTAATTATTCTTTGTCTCATGAACTCACCTAATTCCTCAGTCAATAGGTCTTGACAGGTAGGTTGTAACTCCTGCATCAATGCCTCCACCCCTGGAAAAAAGGAGTGTTTAGATGGAGTGCTAGTGTCTTTTTAGGAAAAATAATTGTACTAGGTATGCTGTGCTGACAGACTTCTCCAGTAGAAACATCCCAGTATTCTGCATCCCCCTTTCTTTAGTATCACTTTAGCACAAATTTTCTATATGCTTGCTCTAATTACTCATTTCACACCGAAAGAGAGCAGTCACACTGTGAATTAATATCCAGATAAGGGTTTCTGCATCTGTTGGCTTCTGCTATTTTGTGCAGTAGCTAATACATTTTGAAAGGCCAAACCTGAAGGCTACTGCATCAAAGCCTGAGCTGTTTATATAGAGAAGGGTGGCATTACTTGGAAAAGCTGAGTTAGTGTAAACTAGCCCCTCAGTCTAAGGATGCCATCTCTTGCTCTATCCCTGTGGAATGGTGCTAGGCCTTTGACTTACTTATTTGTGATTCTGCCTATGGTTCATGCTGAAAAGCCTTGCTCTCCGAGAACAACATGTGCCATCTTGCCATCACATTATGGCAGATGGTATGAAGTAATTTGTGTTTAGCTCTTTCTAAATGTTTTTTAACTTGACTTTTCAAACTTTTATTTCTACTGTGTAAAGAACTTCTGCAGGGGTTGATTGTAATTTCCTTCTCTAGGTATTTTTAGATGAACTTGAGAAGAGGTGTGGAAATACTGCAGGTGTTGAAATGCAGAAGCCTTCTCCAAATGAGGCTGGCCAAGGCACAGGTAAGCTTGTTTCACAGAAGCTACATGCCTAGTGGATTCTTTTATTCTGTAAAATATTTCAGGGAATGCATTCATAATGGATGTTTAGATATTTGTTTGGTGAGCATTTAATTCCCAAACTCCAGGTGGCTGTATTTTCAGGTTGAGTTATGTCTGAAATAGTATTGGAGATGCTAAGAAAAAAAATTTACCTATGATTCCTTATCTGGATAGTGCCCCTACAAGTTGGAACAGCAGAAGCTATCATGTGCCAAGGGCACAAGCAGAGCTTTTTCTTTTGTTGCTGCAGCACTAGATCCGACTGTGAAGAGGTCAATGTCTTTCTATGTCCTGGGAAGGCAGATGAGTTCCTGGTTATGTGTCTTAAAGTGGTATCTTTGGAATACTCTTAAACCTTATACGTGTTCAGATGAGTAGCAAAACCAAACTGAAATATCTTTGGTGTTATCCAGCTTAATGGAACTACAGCCTGTAAAAAATCAGTTACATGTTGAAAACTTAAATAAAATTTTATAAATAACACCTGGGTAAAAAATTCCACCTGTCATGCAGTAGAGAAGCTGCCTGGAAACTCTGTGAGACAGAGGAGCAAAAGAGTAAGACTTGGAAAGTTTGCTGCTCTCTTACATAGAGGTTTTACAAAGGCTTATACGGTGAAATGTCGCTGTGTCCTGTATTCCAGGTGTGCAGCAAAACACATTTTCCCTGCCATCCTGTCATGAGTAGAAATTATGGGAATAGTGCAGGTTGAGCAAAGACTCCTGTGAGAAGGGATGATTTTCAGTTAGCATGGCAGGCAATCCTCTCCACAGGCTGAGTCTGTAGCCAAACTGTGGTGTCTATAGGTGTTGTACCCATGAACAAGTCCCTTATCTTTTACATCATCACTCCCGTCTGCTCAGGGTCTGTATTTCTTTTCCTGCAGCTTTTTCTACTACCTCTTCAACCTCAGCACATAATTTACTTGAGATGACAATTGGCTCCATCATGTTCCAAGTGGCAGAAGGTGATATTACCAAGGAAAAGGGAGATGTCATTGTAAACATAACAAACCAAACCTTCAACCTCCAAACAGGTATTTTAGTTGATATTGTGTGTGAAAACAGTACGTGTGCTTGGAAGGGCTGGGAAAGGAGACAAGGAAGTATTTTCTTCAATGCTTCATACCCTTTTATTTTTTTTCACAATGTGGTTTCTGTTTTGCTTCTTAGGGTACAAAGGTTCAATTAAGTACTGTCTGAAACTTTATTTTCTTGATAATCTATGTTACAGGATGGCATGTTTAAGACTCTCTTGCAGAAAGGGAAACTAATAGAGTTTTTTTTTAATATAGAATCTTTTTATAGAATACCTCTCAGACTAAAGGAGAAGACAAACCTCAATGAGTTTTGACCTTGGGGAAACTTGTTGGGTACTTTAGAGATCACTTTGTGTTGAAAAGCGGAAGTCTAAAATTTTGGCAGCAGTGCTTTTCAATGAAAACATTTACCGTTACTGGCATTGAGATATTTTTAGATATTGTGTGGATATAGTTCTGCCTCAGAAGGGACTTTAACAGTATTAACAGTAGTAACAGTGGATTCATGTGCCTCTTCTCATTTAAGGTGTCTCAAGAGCAATTCTGAATGGTGCTGGAAAAGCAGTTGAAGTTGAATGTTGTCTACTAGGTATGGTACAACATTTCTGACCCTTCTGAAGGTGTTAATGCATGGCAGAGAATCTGCTGGAATAATTTATCAATGTTGCCTACTGTACTTCCATCATTATTATGCACTGTGTTACAGCAGCTAGCTTTTAAATCAGTTAATGTAATATTTGTAAAACATCTAGTGAAGGAAGGAAAAAAAAAATCTTCTAAAGGAGATGGCTTCTGAACACATGTAAAGATCTAAATCTGTTAGTTATTACATCCTCTTATTCCAATAAAGCTTTCCATGATAAAAACAAAGAGTTTACATCAAACAGAGCAAGCGAGATGTTGTCAGAAATGTTAACAGACAAGCCATAAGTTACTGGAAACAACTGTCTACCTGCAACTCCTTTCGTTATTTCTGAGTAAGAAAATGTTTGCTTTGGCATAACTAGTAATCCACTACCACATCCTCTATGTGACTACTTTTCAGTAGTGTGAAGCTGGGTTCCTGCCTCAGAAGAGGCATTTATTTGTAGACCAAATTGAGCTGGTGAACAGCAGCTATAATGAAAGGGAAGTAAGGATGGACAAGTATGTGGTTTAAAACCCCACAAAATAAAGGAAGTGGGAAAGATGAAGGTGTGGAGGTCAGCTTGGAAGACCAACCAAAGGAAAAGAATTATGTGGAGGCAATCAGGGGTAAACAAACCTCTCTTGCACAGGCCAAGAGGGTAATTTGGGCTAGGCAGCCTGGGGGTAGATGTCATGCTTGTGTGTTTGTGAAGACAGAGTGCCTGTCTGCATAAAGTTCTCCGAGTCTGCAGAGCAAACCGGATAAATAAAGACGCACACAAAATTTATTTATCAAAAGAGGCACATATCTTACAAACATAAATTGAATCCTTGTGCCTTGAAAGTGAAAATAGAGAGAGGGAGTTGCTTACTCTATGAACAGAGACATGAAGCTTATCCTGGGGCATATTTGTCACCACTTCTTATTTCTTAATGAGAACTAGTACACATCTATATTGTGGATAATTGTTGATTATGTTCTACTACTTCTTTCAGCCCAGAAACCTCACAAGAGCTATATCATCACCCAAGCAGGAAACCTGCCATGCAAAAAAATAATCCATTTTGTTGCCCAAGATGATATCAAGTTTCTAGTTTTCCAGGTGCTCCAGGTGTGTGAATTACAGGGGTACACCTCTGTCGCCTTCCCAGCAATTGGAACAGGTCTGTGTCTCCCTTTTTTGAAATGGGTTCAGTGCATATGATTCTGCTGATCTCAGGGCTCAAGGACTGAGTTTGATTTATCTGGAGGGGTTATTATTTGGTGAAAATATATTCAGAAACTGCAGTCTTCAAAACTGTTATTAGGGATTTATGAAGAGCTAGAAAGCTTCACTCCTTGCAGACATTTAGTACATAAAGAGTATGAGTATTCTAGAACCAACACTTCCTTGCTAACAGGGATTCAAAGGTATATCTGTGCTTCCTGGAGAACTGCAGCCTGATATGTGTGCAGCTCAGGGAGAACAGCCAGGAAGCTACTTCTCCGTTGCTGAAATCAGTAGATGCAACTCTACCTGGCAGCCGCACAAGCAGGGTTGATGCAGATGGAACATGAGCCAGTCAAAAAGGCCAGATTGTCCCTTTTTCTTTTGTTATTTTCAGTTAGTTCAGTAGAAATCCATAGCATCGGAGAATCCAGAACTGTGCCCCATGCATGGGGGAACCCCTTGCATGAACAAAACTAGGCCTACATTTTGAGCAAGGAGTTGGTTACTGGGCCACTGAGCGTCAGGCCTGTGGCCTATTAGGTACTCAGGGTGTACAGTCTACATCATAACCTGAATGGTTGCCATGCCAACAAAAGGAAATTTCAGTTTTTCCCTTGCTGGAAAGGTGGTCTCAGATGGTCTTCTCATGATAAATAGAAACCTTTCCTAATTGCCTGCCTGACATTATTCTTGACCTGTTTATGATCCAAGTGATTGTGGGTATGTTCATAGCTGTTCTTGTAAAGATGTTTTAATAATTTGCAATTAGCAGTTCTTAAAAGCAAAATATCTCTAACTTTTTTCAGGAGAGGCAGGCCGCAATCCTGCTGAGGTAGCTGACAAGATGATAGATGCAGTAACTGACTTTGCAAGAAGGAACTCTCCTGCATCTGTGAAAACTATTAAAGTTGTCATCTTTCAGCCACATCTGCTGAGTGTGTTCCATGCAAGCATGCAGAAAAGAGAAAGGCCTACTAAAACACCAGTCAAATCATTTATTTCCAAGATAAAATGTAAGTAGATGTCACTTAAGTGCAGGTTATAGATCAATCTGTTTAGCAGCAGGTAGTAATAATTAATATTAATTACAATATTTATGTATTTCAATGTAGCATTCCGGAGCCCTGAGAAACGTTCCCTAAAGGAAAAAAACACAGGAGTTTTGGAAAAGAAAATCGACCCGGCTGTTGTGCAAATTTGCGGTGAAATTAAAAAGGAAGTGGAAGAAGCTGAAAACTGGCTGAGAAGTGCAATTTCAAAGGAACAGCTTCAGATAGAAATTGTAGATGACTCCATCTCTCATTTCAGTAAAGAAGAGAATGAGGAACTGCATCACCTACAAAAGAAATTAAAAATTGCTCTTTATTTGAAGGGTACCTCTATTGGAATTTCAGGTTTTGGGAAAGATGTCTGGATTGCTCATTCAGCTATTCAGAAAATGATCCTCAGGGTAAAAGCTACTAAACAGGAAGAGGTCCAAGCAGGACTTTTAAAAAATTTAATTGAATGGCAATATTTTGAAGAGGATTCCTATGTGCCCTTTGATAGTCTTACAAATATGCAGTTGGAAAATGCTTACAGGGGAAAGCAGAAAAGTATTTCAGTCACCATTGGTGGGAAAAAATACACAGTGGATATGAAACTTAAATATGCTGTGGATGACCAAGGAAAACAAACAGCCATCAGACGTGTCGATAAATCTGAAGGTAGGTAAAAGCATCTTGACAAACTGAGGTTCCATGTGAAAACCAGGTTGCATCCAGCCTAATAAGAGAAGGAATGGTAAGAATATTCAAAGTATTGTTAGGAGCTTTGTGCAGTTGCTTTTCTGGAGAATGTAGAAAGGAACTGAATTGGGAATTGAAAATAAGAGAACCCTGCAGTTTTTTAAAATATTTTGAAAAGTAGGTAATGCGTTCTGAGGTTCTTAACAAGCTTTCTAGCAATAATTAGGTGTTTGTAGCAGCTGTCATTCTAGCTCTCAGCTCACTTCTGGTTTTGAGATGTATCTTTTCTATTTACTGCTGATCCTGATAAGGAGCTACCTCTTTCTGACTCATCCATAAGCAAGATGTATGGGCTTTTAGAAGGATTTGTAGCAGGGCATATTGAATTTTAAGTAGGGGATTTGTGTAAATATGATTGATCATGTTTCTTCTGCAGATCAAGAGTCAACAGTGCTCCCTGCAACATGGGACAATATGGAAAATGAGCGACTCAAAATAGTGGAACTAAGACCAGAAACAAGAGAGTACAGAGATGTGCAGGAAAGGTTTCTGCAGACCTGTCAGTCATTCAGAATTGAAAAGGTATGTCATAATTTCTGAGCACAAATACTTTGATGGTAAGTGATAAAAGATACTAACAACAATGGAAAAAGTAATTCCATTGGGATTTCTGGAGTTGGACAAGTCTTTCTGGCTGTCACTAACTTCAACTAGCATCAGTTTAGTGGGGTATTTGAAGCAGTTCTTGAGCAGTTGCTTCTTCAGCACCAAGGCAGAGTGCTCTTGGAATGGTTTTTGCTGTAACAGAGCACAGCATTTGCCCACGTAAGCTGTGTGTGCTGTGCAGGCAGGGGCATCATCTCTGGCCCAGAAACCTGCAAAATGCTCCTCTGTTTTTTCCCATGGAGTGTCTCTGTCGTGTTCTGGGCTGGGTTCTGCTATCTGTGTGCCAAAGTTTGGAAGGATTTGAATAACTTGTTTCATCATTTGGTATAAAAGCATTGGAGCTGGGAGGGGAATCTTGGAAGCAGATCGAACTGTCTATGCACAAATTTTTTTCGTGACAGCAACCTACCCTCTTTCTTTCTGTCTTTCTTACTTCAAAACTTTGCAGATTGAAAGGGTACAGAACCCATATTTTTGGAAGGCCTACCAAATAAAAAAGCGTGAAATGGATAAAAAAAATGGCAACACAAATAATGAGAGGCTTCTGTTTCATGGGACGAGTAAAGAGTCATTAACCTTAATTAACAACCGTGGATTTGACCGGAGCTATGCTGGAATGCACGGTAAAGTGACTATCTAAGCAACCCTTGTTTTCCTGAAAGAGGCTAGGACTGATTTACCATCCCATCTGAATAGTCCTGCCTTGCAAAATCATTTGTTTTGTTATATCTCTGTATTGCAAATAAAAAGCAAATTCACTAGCTCTGAAGGTGGCAGATAAGGGATTGCTGCTACTGAAACACTCACAAACATTTGTTTTTCTGACTACAGCTGCAAACTTCGGAAATGGAACGTACTTTGCTGTTAATGCCAACTATTCTGCCCACGACAACTACTCTAAACCAGACATGAATGGGAAGAAGCACATGTACTTGGCTCGAGTCCTTGTTGGAGAATATTCTCAGGGCAGAAAAGGAGCGATCACTCCAGAACCAAAAAATGCTAGTAACTCTATAGATCTGTTTGACAGTTCGACTGATGATGTGAGCCGGCCATCCATGTTTGTAATTTTTAATGACATTCAAGCTTACCCAGAATACCTTATCACTTTCACTAGATAAGTTGTTTTGATTGCAGCCACGATTGCAGGTCTTTCAGCCTTTGTATAGGATGGAAACACCTATAACAAAACACACAATGAAAACAATAATTAGTTGTATCAAATTAATTTCTGTTTCCATTTAAGCGATCTGGCAATTTCTGATACCCCTGAAGTAGACTTCTTGTTTACACTTGGAGCAGCTGAGCATGTTTAACACTTGAGCATTACTTTGTACTGAAAACTTCTGCTAGATTACATATTAAGTCTTTGTACTGTATCAGCTTTTCCATGCAGCCTTAGGGCCTTCCTAATTGCTGATGAGGAGTGGGAAGGGACAGTGCAGCCACGGACTGTACAGTGTTGCATTTCTGATGCCTTCTTACACTCTGTAAGTGACAATCTCATTGTGGATTATGACACAGTGGTTTTCAATAAATAAACTAGTCATAGTTAATGGCTTATGTTTGTCTAGACCTCTCAGAACATTTATCATTGATTTTCAACCACTGAACTTCAATGAACTTGATGTTACAGATATGGATTGACGTGTTTTTAATACCATAAACCTGCTGCTTTGCAGTGCCTCCAACTACTGAAAACTCTTAGCTCCTCTGAATGAATTGGCTTTGACTTATTTGGTTAGATGATTAAGAAAAAAAATCTTCCAATACCTTCTTTACATAGTTAGTTGGGTTGTTGTTATAACAAGTTTTACTGTTGATGTGTCCATGTGAGCAATAACTATCGCAGGGGAACTGTGGCCAAGGAACACCTTTTCTGGGAATGTGGTGTGAAGTACTGTGAACCTGCAATTCAAGTATCTCAGTAGAGCCATGAACATCAGGCTGTTCATTCGCACCCATCCCATTGTGACAGTGCTGGAACAACTCCCTTTGGGCCTTATTGCTTCTCATTATGTCAGTTTTCCAACCACTGAAAAATGCTGACTGTTGAAATCAAGTGTCTTGAAATCAATTTCACCTGGAGCTTGAAATCAAGATATGGGTATGGGGGCCAAAAGTCTTAAGTTTTACTTTTACAGTGAATAAACTTATTAAATCTCTGTAACAATACCCATGGTCCATGGTTCATCAGTGTGCCAGGAGCCAGAGGAGATGGCTCCAGGTGCATCATTGCAGCTGGTGGGTCACTGGTACCAGTCTGACCATTCCCTCCAGAAGACAGTACTGCATCAGTTCTCAGTTTCCCATTGCCACAGGAAGCTGCAGAGGGCACCAAGGTGTTTTTTCACCAGTAGTTGCATTACAGGTGCCATGGGCATCCAGCACGGAACAGAAACCTGCAGCACTGGGCTCTGTGCAGGTGATGAGTGGCAGATGCTACTTATCCAGTTTATTCTAATCAAAAGGCAAAGGTGGGGGGCAGGGGCACACAAAGGGACATAGAATCGTAGAATAACCTGAGTTGGAAGGGATCCACAAGGATCATTAAGGGGAACTCCTGGCCTTGCACAGGAGAGCCCTGAGAGCATTGTGCAAATGTTTCTTGAACTCTGGCAGGCTTGAGGCTGTGGCCACTTCCCTGGTCACAGGGAAGCCTGTTCCAGTGCCCACCCACCCACCGGATGAAGAACCTTTTCCTGATATCCAACCTAACCGTCCCCAAGTAGAGCTTCAACCTGACACTGCTTGTTCCACCCTGACCTTGTTTCTCCAGCAGCGATGTTGCAGAATGTGGGATATGTAAAAGTTTTCTTAAGAAACCATC